TTCCAGAAGTCACCTGGAAAGTATAGCGGCAAGTTTGCATGGGAGCAAAGGGTCCCTATGATCAGTAAGACCTGGAAGAAAAAATCATGTATTTGATGCGAACAATGTATTTATTTTTAAAGACATCGAATTCATCAAAATTATTTGTTCTATTTACAATATTCAATATATAAATATATGTACTGTCAAGTCGGGAGTTAACTTTAAACAAAAATCAATAAGAAAAATGTGAATTATTGAAATGTTTGTTATTATAAACAACGGATGCCCAAAAAATATGTTTAAACATGCTACGAAGAAGTGTAGCGTGAAAATTATTTTATTTTAAAGAAAAACTTTCGGTGACATTATTATTTAATTAATAAACTATTCAATTTCATAATAAAAAAACTTTAGCTTATTAAAAGAGACAAACTCGTTTCAAACTATCTGTTTTATTTCCTAGAAATTCCTTTGATCCTTTTTTATTTATTCGTATTACCTATAATCCGGTGTACAACAAAGGACTAGGAAGAAGTACAATAACTTAATTTATTATTGTGCTTATTTATGTTAAAAGGAAATAATTGTTTGAAATTATTTTAAAGTTTAAAATCTAAAAATCTAATATATAATAAGTATAAAACATTATATAATATATAATATTGAGTATGGGCTATACAGTTGATTTATCCAAGGAATCTTTTAATTAATTTTTTTTTTGTAGATTCTTTGAGACTACTAAAGAAAAAAATTATTTCTACAGTATATAATATATTATTGTCTTTGGATTAAGATTAAAGATGTTTTTTTTTCTTAAACTGTATTCAAAATCAGTGGCGTTGTAAAAAAAAATTAACGTGATACAAATGATATAAGTTGTGAGATGACACAATTTTGAAAACTCTCTTCCTATCTTTTTCTCTAATTTTTATTCATTTTATGTTTAATTAATCGCGCATATTATGTGTAAATGTAAGTGTACTCTATAGACTATATTTAATAATTTATACTTATTACTTAATTATTATTTATTACTATGATGTAATACATTATACATTTAATATTATATTGAGTTTATTTAACCGAGCAGAGAAAAATGAGCGATAAAATATAAATTAAAAAGGACTAAGTAACAATAAAAGTGATTGTGAAAAAAAATGGTAAATTGTAACATGAAAATATAATCACTCAAAGAATGGAGCTCAAAGTTTATTTTACAAAAAAAAAATACAAAAATTCAATTTCGAGTGTCATTATAATTATCATCCTTGGCAATAGTGTAACGTGTCTGTTTGGCTAGTTGGCTAAGCTAGGCCGAAACGGCAGTTGATAGGGTTAAATTAGAGGACCCGAAGACGGTACGGATGGCTAGGCCGTATCTACACTTAAATATCCCTAAACTCTCCTTTGTATATTTGCTATATCGCCTGAGGAGCTTAACAGGCGATCGTACCTCTAAATAACTTAACTCTCTAGTGTGCAACGAAACGAAAACAGGTTTATTAAATAAGTAAAGCTATGTATATATATATTACACCTCTACCTGGATCCTAAAGCGTTCTCTGTAGTTAGTCCAGGTAATGGCGGAGTTGAACGGACGTGCGGGTAAAGTTAAAAGAAATAAAAAATAGTAAGGTAACGTGAAATAATAAATAATGGCTTTAGAATAACTAGGTCGCGGTCCGAAGATGGTAGTAAGTCAACTAACTGGGCATCGGTGCCCCTGGCATTGTCTCGTGTGTCTGTTGTCTTCCCTACCTATAATGGCTTACATGCTAATCGGGGTAAACTGCTAATAATGCATATTTGGTGGCGAGTGGAAACGGGCGGCTAAATGTGACCGTTACAGCTGCTTCTCCCCTAATGAGGTCTGACCTCAGACCTAAATTATAAGACCTAGTAATTATTGAAGTGCACCTGGTTTATTTAAAACCATTAAGAATTTGAAATGTAAGAGTTTAATTTTTAAAATATCACTGAAAACTTAGAGCGTGGTTTGTTTTTTATTAATTATTTGCTTGTTTTCTATATTCTTATCGGTGTGGTCTTCAGTGAATTACATTAAACATTATACATAAAATAGTAAGGTTATCTTCATATGTATATATTATGATGCATCAACGACGGTTCAATACCCAAACGAGTGTCGAGTTAATTAATATTAAAAAAAACAACAACAAAGGTTGACTCATTTATACTTTATCGGGGAAAAAATAACAACTCTCCGCCTAAACTTAACCAAAAAAAATATAATCAATATGAATAAACTTTTATGTGCAGCTTTGATGTGTTGATGCTGTCGAAGGAAAAAAATCATCGGTCCAACAGACGGTTTAGTGTTAGCGTGAGATTAACTGCCGTGTAATACTTTTAGGCTTTGGTTAAATTGTACCGCTGTAAGGCGATCATATTAATTATGTTGTTGTGTTAGTTTAGGACAAAAGCATTGCCGATGAAACGTATAATATAATCTCAAGGCAGAAAGCAATATTTATTGATACGTTCGTTTAGTGATTAAACACGCTGTTTTAATGGTTATATTAGCTAATACTCTGCGTATTCGATACTATGTATATTGGCTCTTAGTAAAAGCAAACAAAGAACAAAACTTCTCTGGCGTAACAACATAATATATACCGCGAGCACGCAGTTATTGAGACGCCTTTCTTCTGTTGATTTATGACGTGGTCAGATTGCACACGATGTAGGGTTTAATCGAAATGGCGAACAATTCGGTAGTTTTATTACCGCGGCCGAAGCAAAAAAAAAATCATTTAAGTTCAGTGGACAGAATAAACATAGGGAACTCAACTATATACATTATTGTTTTCTCTTCTCTGCTCTTCTATCTCTCCCTCTCTCTATTTACTTAAAAGTAGTGTTGAGTGCCAATTATTGACGGACTAGGATTGCCTGCCTTGTGTTAAACCTATAAGTATAGAACTACTATATAGTATAGTTGTAAAACCGCACTGTCAGATACCTATAACAATATAACCACGTGGTTTCACCGTTCGGTTCTGGTTAGTTTCTGGGGTAACGCAATAATAATAATATCGTCGAGACTCGTGCACGAAACAATAATTATTTAGTATAACCAGAGATGAATACGATAGTATTTGAATTATTATAATTGGATAACAATGTACACAATTTAACATTGCTAACTAACTAAATGCATTATATAACAGAATACCTTTTTAGTTCAGTATGGTCGTGCTCGAGCTTTGGTCATGTTATATAATGGTTTTGAACTCGGTTTAGGCAATTTTAGTGAAATGACCGTGTTGTGGTTGGTTAGTACGGTTACTTTAAAACATAATTAGACTTGAACGGTATTATGACCCCACCTAAGAAGTGTCTACTTAAACTATAGTTGCTTATACTGGAACGCACAAGTAGTAAAAATTGTTATAGTAACAACTTAATTTAACTAATCGCGAGTTGATCGTAGTGAGCCCGTCGCTATAATCACATATTTGCAAACAAAAATAAAACCTGAGGACGTTCAATAATTATTTAAACAAATAGCAGTAGAATAATAATAACAAGTAATATATATGTAAAAAAAACGTTAATTTTTCTATTTTTACATCTATGTTAAAACGCAAGTAGTTTCCCTGATGAAACAACTGGGGACATATCTAAGTTTTTAATATAAATTATTCTGTTATGCTGAATGCTATTGTTTATACATGCATTTATTCGTTTGACGTAAGGTTTTATCATTTTTCCAATTTTATACAGCAGTATAAATTTCAGATAGTTTTTGAAAGGTATGTTAGAGAATTCGGTCGATCATACGTTGGTTGTAATTTTTTTTTTAAAGCAGTCAAACAAAAAACACATGGTAAAAGAACAATTTGACAATCTAAAAAAATGAAAACAGTTTATTTGCACAGCATTTATTTCAAATGGAAAAAATACATATAAAATACAAATTGAAAATATGTAAGTTATAAAATATAATTTATAATATAAATAGATAGATACTCAGTTTTACTTTCAACTTTAATAACACAAAGATCCAAATACGAATAAAATGATATTTTTGATATTTATTAGAAAGTCAATTATGTTTAACATTTTAAAACATTTGCTGGGTAATTTAGCTAATCACTTTAAATTCATTTCATTCGAAAAAACCGAATACAATGAAAAGTTTATTTTAAAGACGTTTTATTTGAAAACTTATCAAATAAACTTAAAAGAACTCTAATTATACTATTTTTCCACTAAAAAGACCAAATTAAATAGTTTTACTGATTGTTCAAACTAATGGCATAAATTGAAAAAAAACTATTTTAAAAAAAATGTTCATAATGTGACTACTACCGTTTTTCCCCTGTGCCCTTCATAATATATTATCATTGTTGGGATTTGAATAGTCAATAAAAAACTATGTCTTTGTTATCGTAAATACTACACTATAACATCATCATAGATAAAGTGGATACTTTTCCGTAGTATTGTAATAATATGTGAGTGCTTTTTAGAAACATAATTATATTGATTTTGAGTTTATTTATGTACATTTGAGAGTGCATTTTTTCTTATCTTTTGTTACATTAATACTAGGTATAATAAATCAGGAGATACACATATATTATAGTCTTTTTATAGATAACATTACTCAATTTAAACCCGTCGTTAAGTTCACCGACAATTTATTATGGTGGATTTTGAAAATCCGTGATAAATGCTATTCTGAAAGTTCTTAGCAACCAAGTACCTAAGTTGTGGATGTTTTTTTCGCACATTATAGTATTAAACAAAATATCGTAGAGCTTACGGAAATGAAACATTTTGAATCTAATTTATCAAACGGTTCAATAATAATAGGTTTGTCTTTTTTCGATCCAAGGCAACTAACCAACAAAATAGAAGAAGTATGGTCTATTGTATTGTTTATATTGTACTTTGAATGAAATAGCTGGCCCATAGCCGATATATGTAATTAATTAAGGCATGTTTTTGATTTGCAAAATTAATTTAACTTTGAAATTGTTCCTTTGCAGACCATCCGACCGAAGCGCAAAAGACGTTGAGGCCATAGCGTCCCGTCTACGCCGGGTTGACACACTGAACCGTCTGCCTAACACTGTGTTGCAGCAATTGGCATTTGTCGGTTACTACGAAGACCTGGAACGTGGCGTAATGCGTAAGTATTCGACATTTTTCGCTTTTCCACTTCAACAGGATCACCTTCCAAAAATTATTTATAATAAACCGCTTGTAAAATTCGATTTAGTAAAATATGTAGGTGCATACTCGTCCCAAGTAAGCGATTATTTGGCAAACAATTTTTAGACTTATGCACGTTATTTGAGAACACATACGTTCGGGATTGCTTAGAGGAAATTGATATGGATTTTCGAATATGTCATTGGAAGCAGTAGCACACGGCAAAGCGAATTACTACATCAGTGATGAAATACCAAAGCTTAACGGTTCTTTGAAAACGTCACGTCTTACCTTGATCACAGAAAATATATATGAAACGATTTACATTTTTGCACCGTATATACGTATTATGATATAAAAACGAAGTATATTTTATTTTCGGAGATGTGTAATATACTCTGAGTCTTGTCATTGACTATACTACAGCGAGCTTAACAAATTGTCATCCTTATAATAAATTAAACAACTATGGCGGTTTTTTTTAAATATTTCAGTATTATTCATTTGTATGATCATACTTAAGTGCGCCCTCATTAATACATGTGTACAAAGTTGACATTATTCAATACATTTTCATTCGAACAATTATTAAGAATAAAACAAATTCATACTGTATTTTAATAAATAATGTTTTTCATTATTTGTTTATTCATAATGTAACTATTTTTATCAATGGGCATTTTTTTGTATTATGATATTTTTTTCATTTGTGACTTATTTATTCACGAATATAAAACATTATAAAAATATTTAAATATAAAGTATTATTTATTGTTTGCCGAATAACCATTAGTTTAAAGCTTTTATTTTTTTTTCGAATATTTTTTACACAAGTCTGTATGTAAACATAATTGAACGATTTATTTTTATAAACAAAAAAATACTTTGCAAACTTAATGTAATATTTATCCAAGAAAAAAAAACAGTTATGTTAGAAAAGTTATGTAATCATCAATTTAGGTATTAATTTATATCATACATCATTTTATTTTATTAAATAACTTTATTTGCGTAGAACCTCATAGTGTCCTTTTTTCAGAATACATAAAGGATGTTTGAATTCTTGTATTTAGTGGACTCACTCGTTTATGCCCAAAATTGGCCTTGGCCATTTCGACCGAAGCCACCGATTAAATAGGTATTACCTTCTCCCCTAAGATTTCCATGAATTGAGCCCCGCACAATTTAAGTCGGGTTTGTCTCGCCCCTGGTCCGTTGTGATTTTCAACATTATTATTAATTCCTCGTGAAGAGGTGTATGCCGAATAGGGTCATCGGGTCTTAATGTTTTCTATTTTCATCCGTTGTTAACGTAACGTTTTGGGTGAGGGTAACTATTTCTGTAACTTCACAGTTGCAAATATTTTCTTATTTGCATATATAACAATGAAACAAATTTGTGTTGATAAGTTTTAAACTTAACATACCAACTGTAAGTAAAAGTTTTTCAAGTAAATCGTGTGGTAAACACTAATTTAACCGTACTATATAATTTATGCAAAAACAGTAGTAAAATTTACGAAAAATCTTTAAGCGAACTTAAAGTGCTATATACTATTTGTTTAAAGGAAATGTCAATTTAGGTATGCAATGAAAAATTACCAACCACATTGTGTAACACGTAAGAAAAAAGTTTTCGCGGGAATTTCGATTTCTTTTTTCCCATTTGGACTGTTTTACCCAAGTGGATAATCTCCGAGACTTTTTTGTCGAAAGACTTTTTAGACGAGCGGTAAAAAGAATATATTCGAAAGATTTAAACTTTTTACAAACGATTTTTATCATTGTTCGTTCCGCTTTTTACCGGTGTGCAACTCCTTTCTCTTTTCGGATCCTTGACAGAGGATTAGCGTATCGCAAATGATTTGCGGTTGTTAATGATTAATGAACACACAAATTGACCTGTATCTGTTTGGGTTCTTGTACCGTACTCTCTTTTCGGTTGCTGTGTAATGGAGGAAATAGTTTTTTTTTTTTTTTAATGCGCTCAGTGTAGCCTCTCGGGTGGTAATGGACGGTTGCGATTTACTATATGTATAAAAACATTAACGACAGCTGTGCGACAACGGACGCGATGGCGATACACGGTTAGGTAGGCAGGCGCTGATTAGCATAGGACGTTAGATGCAAGGGTGGCGTATAGGCCGGCGTTCTTGTAACACGTACGAAGCGAACATCCGGCTCTGGGTGGAAAACGTTCTCAGGGATTGAAAAAAAAGGGACAGGCAAGGGATTAACTTAATGCGGCGTTGGGTGTGCTCGGAGAAGACGGGAAGAACTAACCCGTACTCGTTTAAAATCCCCACTGAATTTATTTACAGTAACAAATCCTAACGCCACTCCTAATGATCCTGTCTTTTTATAAATGGCACATAATATGGTGTCGGTATATATACTGCGGTAAATGCGTATTACTACGTCCTGAGCGCCAAATTTATCGAGGTCTTATACACGGGCTTCGGCGAGAGGTCATTCCACTGTTTTCCACGACTCGTATGCATTTCAATATACTTCACATATGTACGTACATTTTACATTATAGTATGTGTGTAGATTCAAATAACGAAACGTCGCCAAGCAAACACTATTATACGAATGTGTTATCTACAACGAGTTCGTAAATCAAGACTAAATAATGTCGATAAACGACAACAACGACAAGCGCGAGGAGACTTACATTTTAGATTATTATTATTTTACAGTGTGTATACGTTTTCAAACGAGACATGCTTGACAAAAAAAAAATATGTATTCCAAAAGTCGCGTTTAAGTTTCTATTTCGTTTATTACGTCCACCGTCGTAAAAAACTTTTAACATGTTTTTTTTTTCTAAAGACAAATAACATTTCTTTTCTGTTTTATCGCCACGTTATGTTATTATTCACGAGTATTTGTTCTTAATGTTTGCTTTTACTACCTATCTAAACTATACATTAAATATTAATAATGTCAACAATAAGTTAATTTGTATTTATGTATCGATACAAAAACTTTTTTATGCCATGGCAAAATCAAACAGCCGATCGTAATCATTTAGAGTTCAATGATTTTTATAAACTATAGCACCGTACCGAACTTTTTGTATAAAACTTTTATTGCAAACACTGACAGAATTAATTTTGAAAATATTTATTAATGCTAAATGTTGGTCTTGTATTGAAATTTTGGACTAAAGTTCTAGGCTTAAGCTCCTGTTATTCCTAAGTACATAAAATCGTTTTTGTATCATCGGAACTTTGATAATTTTTGTAAATTATAATTGTTTCAAGAATTAAAAAAGTTTATATTCTCTTTCTAAAATGTTGACAAAAATTCTTCAAACTGTCCAGTATTTTTAAATGAAAAGTATTAAGCTACTTCTAAAATCTTTATAGTTATTTTATTTACAAGTTACAACTCTCATAATTATATTACTACTAAGAGACAAATGGAAATCATGAAAAATATTAAATGCTTAAAATTGAAATAAATTAAAGTGTTTTATTAAAAACCTAAACACAATGATAATGGCTTTATTGTACATGTTATATACAACATACAAAATTTAATTAATCAAAATTATAAATAATTAGGATAGTTTGTAATTAACTGATCTTAAAAATGGTGATTTCCCGTCAGTAGGTACTTTCTCGAGTGTTATTATTATTTTTGAAAAATGTTAATATTAAGTAACGCTCATTAAATTAATAAAAAATACTACATTAAAGTTACAAAATTTAAAATACTAAAAGATAATACATTTTGGTAGTAATAAACTGTCGTTTAGTTTGTACGTCAGTATTGTCATTATTTATGGCAATGGAAAAATAACACTGGCAGACAGAAATTGTTTTTGGTTGTAAAAATGGAAATAAAAATGTATTTCTTGTCAAAACAAATACAATATATCTCTCGGGAGCGTCTTGTAATCAGAGTGACGTATTGTACTGTAAAGAGTGTGAAAATAAGTCTGTGAGCAAATCAAGTTTATCCAGTGTTAGCATTTTAAAATATATTGTTCATTCAAATTCTAAGTTCAATGTTTGAGTGTTTTTTAATTTATTGAATTCCTAAGATATATCGGTAATTTTAGAGTCAGTATATCGTTTTATTTGTGACATTTTCCCCAACGAGTTCTATTAGCGTTATGAGGCTTGGTTTTCTTTTTTCTTCAATGCAATGTCGATTAAAGAAAAAAAACAGTCGGTTATAGAAAACAAGAGAGAGGATATAACCTAGGGGAATATAAAAAAATACTACTGTATTCCATAGAATGGTTAACTTTTGCACAACACCCGAGAGAGTAGTAGACATTTGCCGCAAGAATAGCCTATATACTGCAATACACTGTCATTTCATTGAAAGGGAAAATGGTTATCATGTATTAGTTATTATACGGCTGGAGATATCCAAATTCAAATAAATTACTTTTTTTATTATTTTTGCGTTTTGTGTGGCTACATTTTTAACTGAGTTTTGTGAACACTATTTGTCACGTATAATATATATATTGTTGACAAGTAACGCTAAAATTTGAAACAGGTCATAAAAATTAACATTTTAGACCCACATAATAATATTATAAATCAGTTTTTTTTTAAATTCAAGTTTTGTACCGTATTTTTAATGTTAGTAGCTTAAAACTATTTTTAAACTTAAAATGATAAATAATGTAATATAATATTTAAAATGACCGTACAGGGTGATTTTTTAACTATGACCCAGTAATATGATGTTACATTTTTAAGATTATTTTTTTTGTCATATATTCATAGTTATTAGTTAGCCAAAATTGTATATATTTTTAACAATACAACTTCCCTATGAGTTATGTGTTAAAAACTTTTGAAGATTTTTAAACTGTAACGTATATATTATCTATTTAAATTAAGAATAATTTTCTGAAAATGTTGACAGGTCGGTAACTAGTTTTGAATAACTTACTTTTAACGTTATGGTTTTAAATAAAGTTAATCGTATTTTATAGATATTATTTTT